ATTTGATATTTCCCATATAAATTACACTGATTGTATGTTAATTTTCTTTCAGTTTTTCAACAGTGATATGGCAATTCCAATGTGGGATTATCTGCGAAAATAAGTCCAGTTCTCTTCCTATCACTTCTTCAGTCCAATTTATTAAAGTACCAGCTCAACCACCCATTCCAATGACGAGGTAACTTTTTATAGAAAGCAGATATCTATCATCAACTATGAAGAAATACCAAATTAAAATAGCAATAATAAAATAGTAAATTTGGTTTGCCAGAAAATAGTCATTAGGTTTGAGGCTTGGTTAGACTGCACTGAATCACAGCTCTTCTACCAGTTCAGTGTCTGTTTCTGTAAAGTGCCTTAAATCCCACTAAATCAGAGGAATCTCAGTGAGAGTTGAAGGGTACTCTGCATCTCGGCCTCATCCTGCGATGTTTACTCGTGTGACAAGTCCCTCAGTAGAATTATTTGTGAGATTCACTTAAATGGATAACGGGTGCTGGATCAGCCCCTAAACTGACACTTGCCTTGTAGGTACATTCAAACAATTGTTGTTATTTCTAAAGCATAGTATTTGTTCTTTTGCTACTAGAACCATAGAATTATGTATGGAAAGGTCTGTTAGGTCAGCCCCAGCAAGGCAAGCTTGTTTCCTATAGTAAACTTTATATTGCTTTGTCCAGTCTAGTTTTAAGTTTCTCAAGAGATGAGACTTTCTTTCAGGAAACTATGTTATGGACTAAAAATTCTTACCATAAATAAGTTTTTTTTTTTCCATTATATTCAACCTAAATTTTCCTATCTCAGTTTCATCCCAGTTCTTCTGGTTTAAAACCCTGGTACTACCCCCAAAAGAATCCTCTTCCTTGGTGTAAATCTGTGCTCATCAGAAGAAGGAACATTCCCTTAAATCATCCCATGGCTAAAAATGAGAGATTGATTGATTAGAAAGGAAGTCGTCAGGTTAATGCTCCTGTTTTAATTGATCTTTCATGCAAAAATAATTTAATAAAGAAACAGCTGCAAGATTATTTACTCCAAACATCTTTCTAATTTGTTTTTCTCTGCATTTGCACTGGTGACTGGTTGTACCATAGTTGCAATTTAAGGTTTTTTTAAAATTGTGTTTGTAGATTTCAGATGAACTATACAGAATACGACTGCAATCGAAATGAAGTTTGCTGGCCACAACTCTTTTATCCATTGACGTGGTATTACACAGGTAAAAAAGTAGTGTGTGTGGAGTACAATGTATTATCAAGATTATCAGTAAAATTACATGATGCTTTGTAATATGGAAGTGAAGTCTTCCTGTCTTTTGGAAATTGTGAGCTGCAAAGTATGTTTGTTTATTAAATTGTTCTTTACTGTCCATGACTGGATTTATATTGTATCTTGGCAGATAAGTGGGGAAAAAATGAAGAATAGTTACCAGACTCAGTACTTTGTCAGTTCTCTTGAGGTTTTATTGCTATTTTTATAATGTTGTTTTAGGGAGAGTAAGGTTCTTTTTTTAGCCCCTTTCAAAACTCTCTATCTCCCATTCTGTTTACTTTTCTTTCTGGCCAACCTACTTTATAAGAAGAATGCATGGCTTGCTCTATAATATTGGCCTATTAGTCTGTCAAGTTCTGTATTATGCCTTTGCCTGTAGCATTTGGCAACTTTCAGCTAATTGAGTTAGGAACTCCTGTACTCCAGTCCAAGCTTTGCCATTCGTAAATCAGTTAACTTTTCAGTTTTTCCATTTGTAAAAGATGAGTATGATCTGATTATTGGGGGGTTGCGAGGATTAAATAGCTGATGTTTGTAAAGCACACTAAGGCACTGCTCCTGCAATGAGAACTGCAAGGGTACAGAGGACTGCCCCTACTGTTCTCAGCACGAGGTTGAGGCCTCAAGTTATTCTGTACTACATTATTTTATTTAGGTCCATGTTCAGTTGTAGTCTGTAGCTTTTTATCTTTGCCTGATTTTTAATTCAATATAAAAATAAAACTTTAGGGCCAGGGTTTTCATATCCTTATATTTATTTAGATTTTTGTTTTCTTTCAGGAGAACCGTACTCTCAGTGTCTTGCCAAAGGCTTGATACTGGCATTTTTCTTTCTACTCGCAGTTGTTCTGAGTAATCCTTGGAGCAGAATCCTTAAAGTGTGAAATAATACTATAGTTTAAAATTTGAGAGTATAAAGAGAACCATTTTATTAATGCATTTTTTTACACTTTTGTATTCAACCAATGTTTCGATAAGTAGTACTTTTATTATAAAGCTTTTGAAAAAAGTAATTTCTGGATTTTGTGTATTTTTATATAAATACTCAGAGATGTAAAATTAATGTCTGTTCTATATAGAATATGGTTGTATTAGGTTTTTAAAAAAAGATAATCTGTTAATGGCTAGATCCTGTAAATGGATCTGCCAGAGTGCATTCCTGTTACATTGATTTTTGAGGTGCACTGCATGGGTTCAGAAATGTGCTTGGGTGGATTCATATCTAAACTGTAAGACATTTGAGTATTTACCAACAAAAGATATAAACTTCAGTTAATGATTAATTCAAGCACACAACTAGTGTTCTCTAAGCAATTTAAGACTGAGCTTTACAGTTAATTTAGGTTTTCCATTTTGCTGGATCACTCTGGAAAGAAATAATTTGGAATAGTAGCAATAATCACAATGGAGTTGGTTTCCCATTTTAAAAAGCATCATCTAAAAAGTTGCTATAAATGCCTTATTTGACTTCAGTAGTAGTCACTGTGTTTATTTTCATTTGTGATGCTAATTGTTGTTTAAAAATATATCTGCAAAGGAAAACAATTTCTCCTTCTGTACGTGTTAACAAGAAGTTATTTTTTAAAGAAAAGAATTGGCTGTTTTAATTTTCTTAAGATCAAGTCTTGCCTTCCTTGCTTTTGCTGGATGGCTCTGTGCATAACTAGTGTGGGAATGTGATGTTCTCAACTTGCCCAGGACTGAGAGTCACCTTTACCCCACTGCCTCCAGGGAGAGAGAGACTTGCTTGTGCTTAACTGGGTGTCAGTGCCTTGACACCACCAGTCTGTTAGTCATCTGGAGAATCTTCTCGGAGTCATACTAGCCCTTACTCTTTTTTACAGGTTAACCTTGGTGCATTCCAGTTCTCAAGCCCCTCTGAAGAGTTCCCATGTAGTGTTCAGCCCTTTATACACTGAATACTCGCAGGGAACAGTATACACACCAGCTTCAATGATTCAACTCAGGATCCGCTCCTTGTACAATACCTCAGCACTGAGATATATTTGTAGTGAAAACAATTATAAGTTTATTATCAAAGATCAAGATTCAAGACATTTTGAGTAAGGATAATGGAAACAGAAGGGTTACATATAAAACAAAATTAATACATGATTTCTAGAGACTAGACTTAAAGGCTAAAATCTTGGCTAGGAGAGTTTTCTTATCCAAAACCTTTTGCAGACATAAATTCAACCTTTTTCCCCCCTTCACAGGTGACCGCTTTACAAAAATATGTATGTTCTGTATGTTGTGGTTTGAAGTAGATACATTTAGAAATATGCAGTTACTGCATAAAAGTAGGAATTAAGTTTAGATTTTTTTTTTAAAGTGAGATATATTAAAAATTGCCAGGAACAAGCCTATTTTACTGACCAAAGGCGCCATCTAGCCTGGTATCTTGTCTTACACAGTGGCCTAACACCAGTGCTGCAGTAGGTGACTCACCTCTGCACAATCCACGTGGCCAATTATGCACTACACTGCCTGAGAATGGAGTGGTGGGTGGTAGTTCCAACTGATTACCTGCCTTGAATAAAGATTAATAGATCTTGTAACTTTTAGTCTATTTTTTACTCATTAATTAAAACTGATCTCTTTAGTTTAGTATCTTGTAACTTTGTGTTCTATAGGATAATTATGAGGTGTATAAAGCATTTATTTCCTTTTATCCATTTTAAATTTAAGTGCTCTTATATTGTGGGACAAGGTAAAACATAACAGCTTACTTGTCTCATCTATCTATCTAAAAGTACATAGTCTTTATAATTTCTCCCCACTCCTCTTTCTAAGCAAAAATATTTTGCTCTTCTAAATCTGTTCTTGTATGGAAGTTTTGCCCTCTGTCATAGCTACTCGATCACTTTAGAGGCAGAGTTGGGGGCATCTGTCTCATGCTTGGACAATTTGAATGAGATTTCAAAGAGAAATGATTGAGTAAAGGGTATGACTGTAAATGTCTCATGAATAATAGTAATTCCCATTAAAACGCATGGCTCATAGTCTCATTTTCATAAGGGAGAAGCTTTAAAAATGACTGAATTTTCCCAGTTAAGGAGTTTCCTTACTTCCAATGGATGAGACTTAGAGCAGGCCTGAGAGGTAAAGACAATCCAAGATTATGAGGAAAGAAGGGGACAGTTTACTTCTTTGCTGCTGAAGCAGATTTTATGTCCTTGCCTATCCCTCCAAAGGGCCTGGGGATTTATTTTAATGCTAGTTTCAAAGTCCTCCCCTTTGGGGTGAAGGAAAGTGTTTTGTAGTTTGCTGAGTACTGGATCCATTTGTCCTATGCTTGGGGATGAATCATGCCCACAACCATCCCTGATTTACATTTTGCAAAACCCAAAGCTGCCCAATGAGGTTTTCCAAACCAAACTGCTGTTTTTCAGTCCCCTCTTTGTTAGACAGAAGAGAATAGGCCCAAACCTCAGTGGTTAATCTGAACTACCTTGAAAGCTGGGATGGGGGGGAGAGGTTGGATAAAATGTGACCCAGATGGGAACTGCCTCTGGGTCTGGTGAAACTTTCCATGTCGGTGGTCTCAATTGAGGGTGCCTTCAGTAGGGAGAAAAGGTGTGCTCTTACCACATACCACACAACAGAACCGCTAACCCAGGAACCTATCCTTGCAACAAAGCCCGTTGCCAACTGTGCCTACATATCTATTCAGGGGACACCATCACAGGGCCTAATAACATCAGCCACACTATCAGAGGCTCGTTCACCTGCACATCCACCAATGTGATATATGCCATCATGTGCCAGCAATGCCCCTCTGCCATGTACATTGGTCAAACTGGACAGTCTCTATGTAAAAGAATAAATGGACACAAATCAGATGTCAAGAATTATAACATTCATAAACCAGTCGGAGAACACTTCAATCTCTCTGGTCACGCAAGCACAGACATGAAGGTCGTTATCTTAAAACAAAAAAACTTCAAATCCAGACTCCAGCGAGAAACTGCTGAATTGGAATTCATTTGCAAATTGGATACTATTAATTTAGGCTTAAATAGAGACTGTGAGTGGCTAAGTCATTATGCAAGGTAGCCTATTGCCCCTTGTTTTTTCCTACCCCCCCCCCCCTCCCGACGTTCTGGTTAAACTTGGATTTATGCTGGAAATGGCCCACCTTGATTATCATACACATTGTAAAGAGAGTGGTCACTTTAGATAAGCTATTACCAGCAGGAGAGTGGGGTGGGAGGAGGTATTTTTTCATGCTTTGTGTGTATATAAAAAGATCTTCTACACTTTCCACAGTATGCATCCGATGAAGTGAGCTGTAGCTCACGAAAGCTTATGCTCAGATAAATTGCAAAAAGAAAAGGAGTACTTGTGGCACCTTAGAGACTAACCAATTTATTTGAGCATGAGCTTTCGTGAGCTACAGCTCACTTGAGCTGTAGCTCACGAAAGCTCATGCTCAAATAAATTGGTTAGTCTCTAAGGTGCCACAAGTACTCCTTTTCTTTTTGCGAATACAGACTAACAGGGCTGTTCCTCTGAAACCGCTCAGATAAATTGGTTAGTCTCTAATAAGGTGCCACAAGTCCTCCTTTTCTTTTTGCGAATACAGATTAACAGGGCTGTTACTCTGAAACCTGTCTTAACTCGAGGTAACTCATACAAGGTAAACACCTAGCGAAGACAGGATAGTTTGTAGTTTTCACACAAGTTAGCAGGCTCTACAGTTTTTAAGGCTCTCTTCTCTGCCAAAATCTTTGGGGTTTTATGAGATAACTGACCCGGCTCAGCTGTGTGGCTGTAAATCCTGAGAGGAGACAAGGCTCAGTACTTTATCAGGCTCTAGCTAAGGGCCATCAACCCCAAGGGAAGAGAATGGTGGTGAGCTGGCGGATCTCACCGAGCTTCTCTGGGTCCCGCTAACAGGCGGCCCCGCTAACTCCTGTGAAAGCTTCACCCCGCCGGGTGCCCCCTGGGCTGTCACCTCGGGTAATGCATTCCCCATGCGCCGAGCGAGACCGCCCTCAGCTCTGCCGGAGCCCCGGCCCGGCGTGCGCCCCCGCAGGCAGCCCGCTGGGCCGCTCTCCCGAGCCCTGCTGCTCCGAGAGGCGCCTGCGGCCTAGCTCCGCGCCCTGGCCCCTTTCCCGGCGCGCTCTGCCGCTCGACCCGGGGGCGGGGCGGAGGAGCGCACGGCTCGCCGCAGCCCGGCCGGCGCTTCCGCGGACTGCTGAGGAGACGGGTTAGACAGCGGAAGCGCCTGGAGTTGTTGCTCGCGGACGCTGGAGCTGAGCTCCCCCCATGGCCCCGGGGAGGGGAGAGCCCGCCGGGCCCCGCGGGAGGCGGTCGCGATACAGGGCCCGGTGACCCTCGTCAGCCCGCTTGGCGTGTGGGTGCCGGGTGACCACAGCCTCCACCCCACTGCGGCCCAGGGCTCATCATGGGCTCCCTGTTCCGCAGCGAGAGTATGTGCCTGGCCCAGCTCTTCCTGCAGGCGGGCTCGGCCTATGAGTGCCTCAGCGAGCTGGGCGAGAGGGGCCTGGCCGAGTTCAGAGACGTGAGTATGGGGGGACTTCCTGCCCCATCTGCTCCGCCCGAGACACCCCCCCGATTCCTCCTCCTGCCCCATCCACTTCGAGCCTCCCCGCCCAACTCCTGTCCCCTTCCTTCTCCTGCCCCATCCCCTCTCTGCGAGACTCCGCCATCCCCTTTCCCTTTCGCCTCCCCGCCCAACTCCTGCCTCTAGTTCCCCCCTTCTTTCTCCTGCCTCATCCCCTTCCCCCTGAGACTCCCCTCCTGACTCCTGCTCCATTCAGCCCCCAGATTCCTCTTCCTACCCCATCTTCCCCCCCGAGATTCCCCCATCCCCTCACCCTGAGACTCTCCTCCTGACTCCCCACTATTCCTTCTCTTGCCCCATCCCCTTGATTTTTGTAATCAGATCTAGGTGGCTGAACCCACACATCCATGTGGAGCCTCCTTTGACTTCAGTCTTGGAGTATATGGTCTCAATTATTATGCCTGCACATCCAAGTGGTAGGCCAGTGGAAGTATCTAAACTGTTTAAAAAGATGCAGAGTTCATTTTCTGATCACATCAATCTTCCTGACTCTCTTTTTCTGGCAGTTTTAAAGCATACCTGTTTCTGGAGGTATAGGCAGAATAAGTACTCCTTTTCTTTTTTCCTTAGTAGGTGAAACCAAGTCCCTGTCTAATGTAAAATAGGGGTGGTCAATAGCTATTTGTTGTTTGTGTGATTCGTTGGGATTATCTGGGTGATCTCTGCTTACTGGCTGAAACTTCAGAATTTCTTCCAACTTCCTTTCAGATGTTTTAATTAGAAGTAACTTCTGAAGGGAAACTGGAAAGTAAATATGGTAGATTAGAAGAAATGATTGTTAAAAATAATAATTAACACTAAAACTGTGTTTAAAGACAACTTATGTCCTGTTGTCCAAACACCATTTTAGGGTCTGATTCTGCAACTCTTGCTTTTGTGAGTAGTACCATTTGAAGTCAATGGGATTAATCCTGAAAGGACTGCTTGCATGATTAAGGGTATTATTGTCAGTGCTGCAGAGAAAAGGAAAATAGTGGAATATACTATACATACATATTTTCAAGCTGATAATACAAAAACCATGATGAAAATTCCCTAAAGTTGAATACACATTCATGAACACTGCACATACAATTTATGACATTGGGAGAGTAGCTTTGTAGTAAAATGAAATTTTTGTACTTGAATTCACTTTCAGATTTCACTGAAGTTCAGTGACAAAGCTCCCATTCACTGCAGTGGGTGAAGGATTGAATCCTAAATCTGTGTCTTTAATTTGGAGTCATAAGGGCACTACATTTAAAATAAAATAAAATAAAAATAAAATTGGAATGGTTTCTCTATGGGATGTAATTATTTTTACAGTTTGCTGAAAAAGAGGCAGAAGGTTTTGATCTGTTTTAATTGAATTTGTTGTCTGAAATCCCTTTACATCTTCCTAAATGAAGAGTTTCAGAGTAACAGCCGTGTTAGTCTGTATTTGCAAAAAGAAAAGGAGTACTTGTGGCACCTTAGAGACTAACCAATTTATTTGAGCATAAGCTTTCGTGAGCTACAGCTAAAGCTTATGCTCAAATAAATTGGTTAGTCTCTAAGGTGCCACAAGTACTCCTTTTCTTTTTTCTAAATGAAGAGGAGCACCTGCTGGGAGGAGTTACCTTTTGTTGAGCACAGATGTGGTTCTGATTCCAGGCTACCCAGTTTTAGTATCACAGCAACAGACTTCAGCTGAAACAGTGCTGGTTGACATTTATAAGCCCTAATCCTGCAAACTCTTACACATGTTATTAGGTTTCAGAGTAGCAGCCGTGTTAGTCTGTATTCGCAAAAAGAAAAGGAGTACTTGTGGCACTTTAGAGACTAACCCATTTATTTGAGCATAAGCTTTTGTGAGCTACAGGTCACTTCATCGGATACATTCAGTGGAAAATACAGCGGGGAGATTTATATACACACAGAACATGAAAAAATGGGTGTTATCATACACACTATAAGGAGAGTGATCACTTAAGATGAGCTGTTACCAGCGGGGAAAGAAAACCTTTTGTAGGGATAATCAAGGTGGGCCATTTCCAGCAGTTAACAAGAACGTCTGAGGAACAGTGGGGGCACTATGCCCCCCGTGCCGCTCTCCCGCTGGTAATAGCTCATCTTAAGCGATCACTCTCCTTACAGTGTGTATGATAACACCCATTTTTTCATGTTCTGTGTGTATATAAATCTCCCCACTGTATTTTCCACTGAATGCATCTGATGAAGTGAGCTGTAGCTCATGAAAGCTTATGCTCAAATAAATTGGTTAGTCTCTAAGGTGCCACAAGTCCTCCTTTTCTTTTTACATGTTATTAGTTTCACTGAGTCCATTTAGACTGTTCATGTTTGTAAAATTGTTGAGCACAAGTGTTTGTAAGATTGGGGTTCTAAAGTCGATGAACCAGTTGTGTTTGGAGAAATTACTGCTTTGATAAATATTTAGTGAGTATTTTTTCTCCTTCACCCTCAGCTCAACCCCAGTGTAAGTGTATTTCAGAGAAAATTTGTGGGTGAAGTGAAGAAGTGTGAAGAAATGGAAAGGATACTTGGTAAGCTTTGTTGTAATATTTTTCTTTCTCTAAACTAATCTCTTAAGCGATGTCATTACTTAATTAAAGTTTACACAATCAGAGTACTACTACATTGGAGATCTTATTTATCTGTGTTCTTTTATTATGCTGATCAGAACAGAATCTGAGCACTTTGAAATCTGAGACTTTTTTACATATTCTATAGAGTCTAGGATGTTTAGAAATTTGGGAGTCAGTGATTAGGTCACTGTTCTGAGAGTGAAAACAAATAGATGTTTCTTAGCCTGAGTCTATGCTACGAGGACACAGCTACTGTGCTACAGCTGTGCCACTGAAGTGTATCACATTAGATGCTTCCTAAATGGGCAGAAAGGTTTTTCCCATTGGTGTGGTTAATCCCTCTCTCTGGGAGATCAACAGAAGCTTTCTTCTGTCGACTGAGATGCATCTACATTGGGGGTAAGGTCAACCTACGTACGTTGCTCAGGGTTTGAAATTTTTTACTGGCCTGAGTAACATAGTTAGGTCAACCTAATTTTTAGGTGTTGACCAGGCCTTGTTTTGATATTGACACTTTGTGTTACCTTGTGCAAGTCACTTAACCTCTCTGTGCCTCCATTTGTCCAGCTGTAAAATGAGTTTAGTGATGTCTGTTTACCTTTGTAAAACATTATTTAAGTGCCCAGTAAATATTTTTAATAAAAAACTTCGGGTGTAGAAGAGTTACTAAACACTATTGCTGATAAATTACTGCAACTGTTTCAACATAAATTCTGTTTAAAATTCTGGTTAGGAAAATGGAACTTTCTCTCTAGAATGAATTCCTTAGGAATTAAGTATATTAGTGCACAAGGTGACCTTCAGCTATTGAACTTTCAAGCAGTCCTGAAAAATAGCCTTCTGTGCCCATAATTACATTCACGTGCTAGTAGATTAGTGGTAATTAGATTTTTTTAATTGAATTTCAACTTGCTTCCATATGTTGTTGGAAAAATATCGTAAATTCTCTTTATGGAAATGTTTTTGGTACCCTCTTATGAGCTATTTGTTTAGGTCATGTAAAACCCACATCCTTTTCATACTCTTAGCAGCTGTCTCAGCTCTTCCATTGCTCTGCATGTGTTGCATTTATTGTCAAGGTTACCCTTGCCCCCTGCTTTGAAGAATCTTTATTGCACACGTGGATCAGTGAGCAGGACATCAGTTTTTGCAGAAGACATGAATAGGGGAAGGAAGTCACTTGAAGAGATATCATGAAATGTTAAAAGTTTCTCAAGGTCCTTGTGGCTGAAAGTTTTCTGCAAAGACTTCATGGCTGAAAATATTTAATTCCACAAATACTTAAAAGAAAAATATGCCTTGTATTTTAAATGACCTCCCCCTGCAAAAAACTCCATCACCTTAAAGGTCCTTAGTGCTCAGTACCTCTAAAGACGATATCAGAATCAGAAAAAGAGAAGATCTCTAGAGCCTGATTTTGCAATATACTTAGTGCCCTCAATGACCGCTGACAGGGTACTCAGCAGCTTTCAGGGGTGTTCAGGCATGTTTGGACCCCTAAATAAGTTATCTAGGCAATATGTTCTGAAAAATGTTGCATAATACAATTCTTTTTTCAATTCTGTTTCTGTTCTTACTCCAGGATTTCTAGTGCAAGAAATTAAGAAAGCTGATATTGCTCTTCCTGAAGGAGATACTTCTCCTGCTGCACCTCATCTTAAACACATGTTAGAAATACAGGTAACTCTTCAAAGAATTTTGCAGAAATGAAAGGGTAGGATTGGATCTTGGAACTGAATTTTACTTTCCTTCATTTTGGAACAAATCCTGAGAATTTGCTGTTCTCCTTTATTAAACTGAATGCTGCAGGTGCTCAGCACCTTTTGGTATTTGACCTTTAATTGTGTTTAACCTAACAGTTCTGCGCTTAACTCTGCTATCAGGTTGGCAT